ATGATGGCTGAAGATCTGGAGATGGGGGTCCTCTTTTCCCTGGTGAAGTAGAGAATGAGGTGTGCCAGTCAGAGCCTCAGTAGGAAACAGATGACATGGTCAGTTGGATAATTTGAGGCAATTCTAACAAAAGGACTATTTACAAATGAGTGCTCAGGGTATAGGGAAACCACAAGATTCGGCCAATTCTCGGGTTTGCATCAGTAGGACCCACTACTGCACACAGGGCTGAAGGGCAATAGGAGAGTGTGGTTATTAGAACAGGAAGAGAAAAGTTTCTGCAGAGATACCACCTGACAGGAGCTCTGGCTTTCGACCAAGGGACACAGCCAACCTACAGTGACCCCACAAGGAGGAGCCCAGGGAAATATATACCTTGATTTTACTCCACTCCCTTCTTCCATCTGATCACCTGCTGGTGCTTCCTGTTAGCCAAGTCCAGCTGGAAGTCAGAGGCAAGGATACCTGTGAGACCTGCTTAGCCTCATGAGACACAGAACAGGGAGCAAAGGAGCAGAGTGAATCTGGAGGAGCAAATGGAAGCTATCCTGCACATGAGGTTGTCTGCTAAGTTAGAGGCCACTCTAGAACTGTGTATCAGTAAGACTTCAGCTTCCTTTAAATGATGAAACAATAAAGAGGGGTTACCGGGCAAGCTTCAAGTTCAGTCATATCAGGAGACTGGCTCTCTGTGAGGGTGTAAGATCTGTCCTCCTCAGTGTGCCAACTCTGTACTCAGGCTGCCTTGCCTCATGGTAGCAAAATGACTGCAGTAGTTCCTGGTGTTGCATCTTGCACCACATTTGCTGGAGGAAGAGAGGGACCATGGTTCAGAATTTCCAGTAAAAGTCCTGAGACTCATTCTGATTGGACTATCTTGGGTCATATACTCAATGGTGAACCAAACATTACGGCTAGAATATAGAATGCATCCATTGGTGTCGCCTAGGTCAAGGGCTTCATCCCTAGATACAGGAATGAAATGGTTTGCCACAAACCGCATAGATTCTGGTACGGAAATTAGAGCTTTGTGGGATGGTTAAGAGGCCACCAAGAAGTGCCCACTCGAGTAGGACTGCAGAACTGCCACTGATAGAAAAAGGGAAGAGCCAACTGGGTCTAAGAAGTGTTTCAGTCCAAAGTACAAACAATCAACAGAAGCCTAACATGGACCAAATCGATGGGGGTGGTGGCGAGTATTTATTTCACTCAAGGAAACACAATGGCTCCATCAAACATTGGTGTAGAGGTTCAAAAATGATTTTTGGAACTCAGCTTCCTTTCTCATGGATATTATTACCTCGCGTTCAAAAGATGGCTGCTGCACTTCTAGGCATCCACCCAAGTTCAATGCAGGAAAAAGGAAAAGGGGCAAATGATGGTCTAAAGGGAAAAAGCATTGTCTTAGAGAGCTATTGACTCTCTTTGCAGGGGCCAACTCTTTACCTCATTGGCCAGAACTATGCTATGCGGCCACCTCTTAGCTGCAAGGGAGTCTGGGAAGGAGGGGATTGTTATTTTCTAGCCTGAGCTGCAGATGACGGTAAGGGAGACAGGGATGGGGAGTTGTTTGGGGGAGCTCATCTCTGGTTCTGCCACAGGAATGACTGCCTAACAGCACTGGAGGCCCAGCTGAGGCTGGAAGTTGTAAATCTGTGGTCAAGCCAATCAGCAAAGGGTCACTCACTTGACAATGAAATTGTTAACTGGAAAAAATGACAGCTTTATACTAAATTTCACTGAGTCTGCTAACTTGGGAGAACTACAGGCCAAATTTTCCTAGCAAACAAAATAGTGAAGCCAACCACATAGACAATTCAGACAAATTCCTGGAACAATGCTGCTATCTCATTTCCAAAAAAATTAAGAGCCTTTCTGAATAAATCTCTAAACTAAAGCCCCATAGTCTGTGACATATACCAACACCAATACTGGTTATTTTCCCAGAAAAGTTAATTTATCCAATTTTGAAGACTACTGATAAAATTTTAGTACTTTTCTAGGTAATTTTTAAAAATTAGTTCATGCTCTATTTAGATAGGTCTTTAAAAGGAACCTCCTTAGTATGCAGGTTTTGAGTGTTTATGCATTATCACAAAACACAAATTGTTTTTCTTATATAAGCATCTTGAATGGGGCCATACACATATGTGCTTTTAATTAAATAAATTTAGTGGATATGATTGCATAATCCAAACATAGAATTGCTCTTAGAGCCCACAGTGATGCATCCAAAAAATGTACACATTTGACTCCTGAAGCCTTGAAGTAAAATGTAGATCTTCATGGGTGTTCTCAAGGAGGAGCTAAGAAAGCTTAGGATACAAAACACACCTCAGTGTTTCCTCAGTCCCCCATCACATGGCATCTGCTGTCCCCACAATTTTCTTCCCATCTCTCCTGCCCGTTCCAGAAGAGGGAACTTAGGTGGAATCATTCATCCCCCCTTTCCAGGTTCCTGTAGGTCCAAAGCTTGACACATTTCTCCACCAGTACATCAAAGGCACCATCCCATCTTCCCAAGCAGGAAAGGACCTTCCTTCTGAAACAAAAGCATAGGGAGAACTGACAAAGGTCAAATCATAACAATGCCAAACCCTAGGCAAGTGCTTAATATAGCTTCATAGAAAGTGCCAGCAACTCTCCACCTTTAATAAATAATACAAGTATTGGAGGAAAAAAATCATATGAATAATTTATGTTCACATCCACATCCAACATATGGCAAAAATAACAGACATCACAGATCTTCGATGTGAAACAGAAGAGGGAAAGGAATAGAAGAAGATAATGACTAAAAAGATACAAAGCAAGAGCAATGATTACATTTTCCTTAGTCAACCGTGTGTTACTGGAAAGGGACGGCTGGAAATGGAAATTTTAAACTCTTGACTAAGAGAAGTATGTGTCCTATTAAAACATGAAAACATCTCCCACTGTAGATGTGTAAGAAAAATCATGCTTATATTCATATGCAGATATAAACTAATGAAGTTACTTTGGGGATTTGTGGATAGTCTTAGATATGTTAATAGCCAACAAGTAAAAGAAAATGATTTCTATCTGAAAACAACAAAATGATTAATGTAAGCATTAAGATAGCCAGTAATTCCATTAATGGCTGTTTTCCATCTCTATGACGCTTATTAGCAACCATGAGGAGCAAATAACCTCTCTTTTAGTTTGGGATTTTTGGTTTACAAGCCGTGTAATTTTGGTCAAGTCCTTTAGCTTTTCTCCATGTCTCTGCTTCTTCATCTGTGAAACTGAGAAGGTAATATTTGTCCTATACCTACTTCTCCAGGTGCAGTGAGAATCAAACCAGGTAATGCTTATGGCAGCATTTTGAGAATTGTGAAGTACTAGTAAACCCAAAGTACTATTACTATTAATAATTGTGGTAGATACTATTTGCTGACTCTCCACAGAGCACTGGGCAAGATGTCACGTGCACTGGATGCATAATAAAATGTGCAATGCTCATTCTAACATATTTAGCTTTAGCATGCCTGTCTAAGACAGTATAATATACTCCCTGGAATTTTAATTAGTAGATAATAAAAATAGCTACCGTTTAGTGAGCACTTACACCGCACTAGTCTAAACGCTTTAAATATCTTCCATCATTTAATGCTCAGAAGAACCTGGTGAGGAGGGCAGTGTTATCATCATCTTTATTTTATAGAAGCGGAAACCGAGACTCAAAGAGTTTAAGCAACTCCCCAATCCCAGTTCCCAACATATTGAATAGTGGAATGTGGAACGGAATCCAGGTAACAGAATTAACATGCCTTGACATTTCCTTGTAGTTGAACCAGTGACTTGTAGATGTACACAGGCAACAAATCCGTGTTGACTGACTGAATGAGCATATATAGATCCCTGTGTTTTGAGTACTTAGAAAATTACCATGTTCCTATGACATATATTATTTTTTTCTAAATGAGGAAAGGAAAAAGAAAACTTCTCATACCTCAAATAACAGTTACCATCAAGAAATGAACCTTCAAGAGCAGACTTTGCCAGATGGACACTTAACTCTTAGAAGACTAGATTATAAACTTTCAATTGTTTTTGATGAAAAATTTCTAAAATACACACAAAAAAATTTTGAGGATCAATGTACTATGGGCAGCTATTTGAGTACCCCCCCAGACCCCTATCAAGAACCAATTTAGTCTGTCTTATAAATTATTCTTTCCACCTTCTGAGTGTTTGCTCCTCACGACACCTGCTTCTAACAAAGGCAACTATGACGTATCTCTGCTGCTTTCTCCCTTCTTCTCTGTTTGCTTCTCTTTCCTCATAGGTCATCTATATCCTCTTTTCTCTAGACTTTCACTTGAAAATATGGCTTTTTATAGACAGAATCCACCTTTTTCTTTCAATTATCAAAGTAAATAGTCACAATGAATTGAATGTGTTTCTAACATTTGTCTTTCCACTCAATTCACTTCTTGCCCCTTGCCCAGGATTTGTCCCATTGGCAACAGACTTTTTTCAGGGGGTCTAAATCCTAATAGACAGCCCTTCCTGGCAAGCCTTCCACGTTTCCTTAATTTACAACCCACTCTTTAAAAGGGCTGTCACTTCTTATCCTTTCTCTTCTAATATTCAACACCTCCTCCTTCATCTCAGCTGATGATCTCACCTCTAATTTTACTGAGAAAATAGAAGCAACACTAAAAGATCTGCCTGGTCTCCCCCAACCAGATACACCATCTCACCCTTGTCCATACCCACGTCCTCTTTCTTTGCTCTCTTCTGTGTCCCATACTATTTCTTTCAACAACCTTGCAAATCACTAAATTTCCCTTTGACTATGTAGGAATTCAAATCTAATACATTTGTACTCCAACAACTGAATTTTTTTTAATTCTTGGTTTTTTATTGAAGTGTAATCGATGTACAATGTTAGTTTCAGGTGTACAGCAAAACAATTCAGTTATACATACACATACTTTTTTTTGGATTCTGCGATGACTGTATTTTTTATGTACAAATTCTTGATCCTCTCTTTTCGTGTTTCATTTTTGTTTATTTTTATTCCATGATTTCTTGTTCTTTTTGATAAAAGTTATGCCTTTAATTCTTTGATCATCTCAATCATATTTATATTCAAATCTTATCAAACTGTTCCAGAGATAAAACTGATTTTATCTATAGTCAACTTACATTCTAATTGTTGATTTTGTTGGCTTTCTTTCTAAGCATTAAACCTATCCACATGGTTTGGAATTTGAGTTTGCAGACTCATAGTGAAGCATTTGAAAGCTTTTAACATTTTTCTATCTCTTCCCATGCTTTCAACCATGAGCTCACCCCTCTCTGTCAGCAGACGCTCAATGAAAGCCAAGTCTTGTAGCATCAATTAGGAACTCCTGCCCTAAGGTGATATTGTGGACTTTGCAGATCCAATCACAAAGCAATTAGGCAGCTTGGCTCAATTGGGGTTGTAAGATTGTATCTAGGCACCCCCATCTCCCTGGGTCTATAGCTTCCTAAAAGCCACATCTCCAAGTAGACGTTATCTAGAGTTTTAATATTTTTTTGGCCTCTCTCCTGAGAAAGGAGGAGTTTTCAGGCTGTAAGATCAAATCTGGTTTCTTGTGGGGCAATTTTAGTGTCCTCTACCCCTCAGGAGCTGAAATCCTGGCCATGGCTCTGTGCTCTCTACATTTCCCATAAACTTTGTGGCTTCAGCCTACTCGCTTTGGCATTTTTTGTTCTATTTCCATCTAGGAGATGTTTGTCTTGTTTTTAACCTGGATTTATTGTTTTCTCCCTTTAGGTATGATTTTTTATTGTCATATATTTGCAGCATGGGTTATAAGAACTTGAGCTCAGAAGGCCATCTTGCCTAGAAGTTGTCTCTATAATATTCTGCCTTCTCTCTTATTTCTATCAAAAGCCAGTCTCCTCATTTGTGTACTGTGTTTCATCCACCCTTGTCTTCTTGTGGACTTTGCTCCTGCAATTATTTCCCCTCTGCTCCTTTTTATACCAGAATTCCTCAAAAGATTTCTCCGTATTCACTGTCCTCACTTTCTCATTCCTCATTCTTTCCTCAAGTCACCCCAATCAGGCATTCATGCCTGAGACTGCATTGAAAAGGGAGTGCTTTGCCCTTGTTAAGTTTGAGTTGCCAAGTAGGCATCCAAGCAGAGGTAATGAGTAAGAAGTCTTGAGGCTCAGAGAAGAGTACAGGGCTGGAGATATTAATATGGAACCCTTCAATATACTGATCTCATGGCAGAAATGAGGAGGTGTTTATCAAATATTCTTTCTCCTCTTCCTCTTTAGCACAGAACTTCAATTTTAGCTGAGCATATTACTTTCTGAAATAAAAGCTGCAAGTAACCAATCTCCCTTGGAGTGAGGTGTAAGCACATGGCAGAATCTAGTCATTGAACTGATGCGATAAACTTGCAAATACGTGTGTGTGTGTGTGTGTTGGTGGTGCAGTGGAGGCTTCCAAAAAGCTTCTTTAAAAGAACTGATCTGTTGGATGTCTCCCCTTTCTTTCTCCTTCCTTCTGGTGTATGTAGATGATGCCTGGAGCTAAATTTGCCATCTTAGGTCATGAGATGGACCTGAGACCTAGGATGATGGAACAGAAAATCCAAGGTAGCCTGAGCCTCTGATGACTTTATGAATCTGACACATCAGCTGAGAACTGGCTCCTTCTGACTTCTAGTAAGAGAGAGAATGAACTCTTCCATGTTTCCTCTATTGTAACTGAATCTCTGTTATCAGCAGTGGAATGTGATTCGTTAGAGAATGCATGGAACTAAAAGCCATGGAACCAGAAGAGATCATCTAGGGAATGAGAAGAGACAAGAACAGGAAAGGACCACACCAGCGCCTACGGAACTCCAACATCCATAGGAAGAGGAAGAGAATCTAGGAAAAGAGGTCAGCAATGAAGGGTCTATAAGGTAACAGGAAAACCAGGTCAGTGTGGTGTCCTGGAAGCAAGGGAAGAAAATGTATGCAGTAAGAAGCATTAATTATTGTCAAATGCTGCTCATTGATCAAGTAAGATGAGGACTGAGGATTGACCATTGGATTTAGTGACATGAAGATCTCTGATGACCTGGACAAGAGCACGTTCAGAGGAAGGGTGAGAAAAAGCCTGACTTGAATGGACATAAGAAAGCATGAGAGCAGAGGAAGACGGGAAATACAAGCAACTCTTTTAAGTAGTTTCATTTCAGAGAAGAGCAGAGAATTGGGGCAATAGCTGGAGAAATAGGCTGGAAAAAAGTTTTTGTTTGTTTTAAAAGAAGAAAAATAATAGTATGTTTGATGCTGGTGGAAATGATCTAATTTCATGATGCAAGAATGAGAAAGTAGAATCATTGGTGTGATATTTTTGTTTAAATCAGGTTGTTCCCTGAGCTCAACTCCAATAATCACTTTAATTGGCACTTTATTATGTTTTCATAACTAGCTATCATGTTGCTAATTTTTCCTGATCCTTTTTCATTTAGTGTAATAAACTCAGTGCATTTTTTAAGTGGCATAAATAATTACAAAAAATTTTTTTAAAGGGAATGCTTGATTTAAAAAAAATGAAAATATATCCTAATTCAATTCTATTGTATTTAGATTAAATCATTTAGATGCTAGGTGCTTCAGAAATCTCCAATGTATTAGGAAAAAGCATGAGTTGAAGGAAAAAAAAAAGAGAAACGTGCAAAATTTTTACTCTGTGGTAGACTTGGTATCCAAGGATTGGAACTTTGATCTACAGTATAAGGCATGATTTTGAGTTCATCTTTCCTGTTGGGATTACAGCAAAAACAAATAAGCAAATAAAATGTTAACATAAAAGTATTAGCTTAAAGTGCTTAAAGTGCTACCCAGTATTAGGTAAGAATGGAGACGACTACAATGTGTGTGTTGAGCTTAAAGAATTTATGTTATCTGGAGACTGGAACTCTATCATGACTAGAAGGTGGAGGGCTCGCAGTCTTTAAGGCATTAGCCTTCTGTGACTCCCTTACCTGGCAATGCAGTAAAGCTGTTCTTTTCTATCCTCCAAACAAACAAACGAACAAACAAACAAACCTAGAAGGTGGATTCTTTAACTTGATGATGGGTATTTGAGCGGTATGGCTCTCTGGAAAGGAACTAGGGAGACCCCTGCTGGGGGCATGGAGTGACGGGCTCCCCACACAGAGCCAGATTTGGGGTAAATGGGAGGTGGCAAATTCAAAAACTTAGTTGGATGAGGATTTAGAATGAGAAAGGAAAAGAATACATGATGAAGTGATCATGAATGGACAAGCTGGAGTAATTAGTCTTCTAGAAAAATAAGAATGAAGTAAGTCAGGAAAACATTCACAAGAAGAAAAGAACTGTGGTACTTGAAACTCCAAGTAGGTAAATGAATATGGAGGTTTCGGTTCCAGATCCCTTCAAGGACATTCCTGAATCCCATAAGAGTCCACAGACCCTGCATAGGTCAAAGTGTCCTGCTAGAAGAAGAGAATGTTCTCTGAGATGTGCAAAGGGTCAATCCTGATACATCAAAAACTCATCATAATTTCAAAGAAACTTTAAGGTTTAAAAAGAGTCTGAGGCGAGGGGAGGAGGTGGCAAAAGGACTGCAACTGACAGGGTTGGGCAAGCCTGGGAAAAGGGATGGGGTTCTTCACTGGACATTAGTGATTCCTTGCACTGTGGTTTATAAATTGCTCTGCCAAGTTATTTAAATGTTTCTATGTCAATTCAGACAGCTATACTTAATATATAAAGTACTGTAAAGGTGAACTTGAAATTAAAGAGAGAGAAAAGAAATAAAACAGAGAGGTTGGCGCTGTAAGATTAAAGACTACATGGTGGGGGCTGTAAGTCTAGGGTTTCTGACCCCGAGCATGCATGGATGGCTTTCAGAAGATCCACAAACCTGTGGGAAAGTATAGTTTCCTTTCGTCTTCCCCAATATTTAAAATTATAATTAGAGGAGAAAAACAGTTCGTACAACTTATATTTTTTATTCAAGCATGGGTTCACACTAACATAAAAGGCAACATATAAAGCAAAGCACAGCTTGGTAATTTGTAACTGTCATTATTGGCCAGTTATAGTATCTATCAGGACTTCCTTTGGTGTGAATTGCAAATATTTCATGGCATTATGATTATGAACATCTATATATCTATACCTTGATACCAGCTTAGGCTAGGAAATACCACTCTATATGTATGTAAGTGTCTACATATGTTTTGGGGAACAAAACTGAACACAAAAGTCAGAAGGCATCTTGTGTAGCCAGATGCTTACCTATGGAAGTAGGAAGCCAACAGAGCTGAAGTGGTCCCTTACGTCCTAACAATCCACTACAAGGTCTGCTTTTTTTGCCTAAGTAAAAGGCTCAACTGGAAAAACATTAAAAATTTTACCAAAATTGGATTTGCTTCAACACAAAGAGTGTTGTCTTGAGTCAGCCTGCAAAACTGCTTGTTCAGTTTCATCTGTTACCAGATAAAAGACTTTGATGAAGCAATATGTCTTGGAAATGGTTAAGCTGATTTATGGCTTGGAGGAAAATTTAAAAATAAAATAACATTCTGTCAAAATGTTCTCATCCATTCCAGAATCACTAAAATCTATTCCAGTATTTTGAAGCAGATCATTAAGGAACTGCCATTTCTCTCTCTGTCTCTCTATTTTTTGTGAAAGTATTGACTTCTCTCACCAGATTCAAGCTCTGGTTCCCATGTTCTTCGTACAAAGATAGTATCAAATGAGATTCCTATTTTGGGAGCCCTTGGAACGTCCAGAGGCCTCCTGTGGTTTTGAAATTGTAAAAATTTTTATTTGCCAAACAAAACTTCAACCCAGACACTGGTCCCGGGTATGGTTGGAGAACCAGCCACATTTGGCAGCCCCTCTGGGCTTTCTGGCCTAGTGAAGAAACAAACTCTGGTCATCACTGAGGTTCATTCCGTTCCAGGCTGTCATGTCGAAGACAAACCCTGATTAAAATTTTGTTTACTACCCCAAAAGTCATCAACCTATTCAATGTAAGAGCCTCGAATTTCTGTCTTTTCAAGAAGTTTTGTTAGGAAAGCAGAATGAAGTTCTCTGCCTATGCAGAAATCCCGGCTGTCTGAAAGGTAAATCTAGAAGCACTCAACTGAATTTGAGGTAGGCACCTCCTTCCCAGCCCTAAGACCTCAGGTTCAACAACACTTCTTCAGGGTCGTATCTCTCTATCATCGGTTCTCAGAGAACCATGAACCTTTCTTCCACAGTAATTTTACATATTTTATATTTGTGGTTATGATTCTTTGATTAATATCTGTCTTCCCCACTAGACTGTGGGCTCAAGGAAACCAGGGACTAGTTCCATTTGAGTTGACCGTTGTATCTCTGGCACACAGCACAGTGCCGAGCTCAACAAATATTCAGAAATACATGAACAAATGAACAGAAAATGAATGGCAAGGAAGAATTTTTCTACAGCCTTCCAGATATGTGTGGCCATCTGAATAATAACCAAAATGTGACTGCCCTTATTATAAGGCTTCATCTGATTTACGCTAATTCTCACAACAATCTTATCAAGTAGGTACTATTATTATCCACTAATGAGAAAATCGAGGTGTACACAGGCAAGTCACTTGCTTATGTTCTCATGGTTAGTAAAGAGTTGATCTGAGCTTCACGCAGCCTAAATCTGGAGTCCACACTCCATACTCACTGTGAGGGGAGTCGCTGGAAAACGACCTACTATTTGGGTGAGGCTACCTCTCTGGAAGTGAAGACTGGAGGTAAACAACTATGGAAACTTTACAGATCTGGGGAAAGGTTTTCTCCCAGCTAGAACCCAGGATGGCAGCTCCTCTGCCGGAAGAAACCTCTAGAATTCAGAAGCCCTGCAGAACTCTGTATGTTACCTCTGCTCAAAATACCACGTAGTGTATGGGACAGATCTTGACAAAGATGACCTCAGTGACTGGAGGACAAAGAAATGGTACAAAAGGAATTCAATTTGCAGCATGTTTGAGAATTCTGACATTTTTTTCTTTCAAGTCAACCCTCACCTGGAAGAAGAAGCAATGGGAATTTTCATTCCATCTGTAACACCTAGCCTTGTAATCAGCGATTTCATAGCTTACTGCCATCAGAGGTAGAACTAACATGTGCAGACTGTCAAATATGACATTTTACCATGTGAGAAACCATTCCAAATGTTAAAGTTCTTAATTGAAGTTTTTTTTAAAAAACTATGTACTTTTGAAATTTCCTTTTAAGCATAAATTTCATATTGAATTTCTTTTTTTATTTTAAATATACAATCTGGAGTTATTTCAAAAAAATTTCCAAGTATTGGCCACTATTTTTGGCAAGAATATCAGTGAGAAAGATCTAACTACTTGCTTAAAGAAAGGCTCCCTGTCTACAAGGAAGAAAAACATTGTACGTACATTTTATTTTTTTATTGAAGTATAACTGATTTAAAATGATTCAGGTGTACAGCAAGGTGATTCATAGATAGATAGATAGATAGATAGATAGATAGATAGATAGGTATCTTTTTCAGATTCTTTTCCATTATACATTATTACAAGATTTTGAGTATAGTTCCCTGTGCTGTAAAGTAAGACCTTGTTGTTTATCTATTTTACATACAGTAGTGTGTATCTGTTAATCCCAAATTCCCAATTTATCCCTCCCTTCCTTTCCTCTTTGGTAACCTTAGGTTTATTTTCTATGTCTGTGAGTCTAGTTTTGTTTTGTAAATAAGTTCATTTGTATCATTTTTTTTAGATTCCACATATAGGTCATAACGTATGATACTTATCTTTCTCTGTCTGACTTCATTTAGTATGATAATCTCTGGATCCATCCATGTTGCTACAAATGGCAGTATTTCATTTTTTATGATTGAATACATTTATATATATTTATCTCTCTCTCTCTCTCTCTCAGTTATAACATATATATATGTGTATATCTATATAAACACCACATCTTCTTTATCTGTCTTCTGTCGGTGGACATTTAGGTTGCTTCTTTGTCTTGGCTGTTGTAAATAGCTGCTATGAACATCAGGGTGCATGTATCTTTTTGAATGAGAGGTTTTGTCTTTCCCATATAAGCCTAGGAGCAGGACTGCTGGATCAAATGGTAGCTCTATTTTTAGTTTTTAAGAAACCTCCATACTGTTCTACATAGTGACTGCACCAGTTTACATTCTCACCAATAGTGCATGAGGGTTCCCTTTTCCCCACACCGTCTCCAGCATTTATTATTTATAGACTTTTTGATGATGGTCATTCTGACCTGGGTGAGGTGGTATCTCATTGTGGTTTTAATTTGCATTTCTCTAATAATTAATGATGTTGAGCTTCTTTTCATGTGCTTGTTGGCCATCAATACATCTTCTTTGGAGAAAGGTCTATTTAGGTTGTATGTAAATTTATGAAGGTGCTTATAGGTGCTTTTTGGAGTCTGTGAGCCAAAAGGAATTGGGAATCACCAGTCTCTAGGTTGAAGCCATTTTTTATGACTTTCTAGCTGAAAGCGGGTGGTTTCAGGGGTGAACGTATGGGAAGGGGAGGATTTTGTTAGAAGTCTATGTGAGGATAGCCTCAATGTGCCCATCCAGATTCACTCTCTAGCTTTCCCAGCTCTTCTTTGAATCTTTGAACCTCTAGCAACTGACTGAGTGGAACACATCATGGGTTACCTGCTTTCTGGCTTCCAGATGGTTCCTCTACTCAAAGCTGCACTCCCGTCCAGCAGCCCCTCTCCTTCAACATATAGTAGCTGCCCATTCCCATGGCCCCGTTAGGTCTGGGGCTGGCAACTGTTTCCCGCTAGTTCATCATCTTTTATTTCCCTTAACCTTGACCACATCTCAGTAAGTAGTCTCTTCATTATAATCTTTTCAATGACCTTTTGACTATGTTTTCTATGGATATAGGCTGATGGATACAGGCTGTCTCTCTTCTTTCACTTGAACTAGTCAAGAGTATTTTTTTTAACAGGTTAAAAAAAAAAGGGAGATGCATCACCAAAAACCTGATCCATGAAAGAAATAATTAATAAGCTGGACTTTATTAAAATTAAAAATTTCTGCTCTACAAATGACAATGTCAAGAAAATGAGAAGATAAGCCGCAGAGTAAGATAGAGCATTTTCAAAGACATCTGATAAAGGACTGTTATCCAAAATATACAAAGAACCCTTAAAACTCTGCAGTAAGAAAACAAAGAACTCAATTAAGAAATGACCCAAAGACCTTCAGACACTTCACCATAGAAGGTAAAAATATGGTAAGTAAGCATATAAAAAGATGCTTTACATCATATGTCACCAGAGAAATGCAAATTAAAACAACAACAAGATACCCCTACATGCCAATTGGAGTGGCCAAAATTCAGAACTCTGACAACACCAAATGCTAGCAAGAATGTGGAGCAATAGAAACTCTCATACATTGCTGGTGGGAATGCAAAATGGTAGCACCATTTCGGAACACAGTTTGATGGTTTCTTACAAAATTAAACATACCCTTACCATAAGATCCAGCAATAACATTCCTTGATGTTTACTCCAAGGAACTGAAATTTTATGTCTACACAAAAGCCTACACATGGATGTTTATAGCTGCTTTATTCATAATTGCCAAAAGTTGAGAAGAACCAGGATATCTTTTGGTATACAAATGGATAAATACACTGAGACACATCAAACAATGGAATACTATTCAGTTGTAAAAAGAAATGAGTTATCGAGCCTTGAGACAACATAAGGAGCTTAAATTATGTTAGTAAGTGAAAGAAGCCAATCAAAAAGACTACATACTGCATGATTCCAACTATAGGACATTCTGCAAAAGGCAAAGCTATGGAGACAATAAAAAATTATTAGTGGTTGTGGAGGGGTGGGGAGGAGGGAAGAGATGAACTGGCAGAGAGGAGAAGATTTTTAAAGCAGTGAAATACTCTGTAAGATACGATATGTTTCATTGTACATTTGTTCAAAACCATAGAAAGGACAACACTAAGTGTGAATCCTAAAGTAAACTGTGGGCTTTAGAGGATTATAATGTGTCAGTGTAGGCTCATCCCTGATGAAAATGTGTATCGTTCTGGTGAGTGATGTTGATAAGGGGGGAAGCTATGCATATGTGAAGAGAGGCGATTTATGGAAAATCTCTTATCCTCCCTCTCAATTTTATTGGAAATCTGAAATTGCTCTGAAAATGTCTTTTAGAAAGAATGTTTAAACTATTTAAAAAGTGATTCAAGAGTACATTTTGTACTTGCTTTACATTTCTCTTTCACCACGTCCTCTCCTCTGTCTAATAGTTTTGTAAGCAGAGTGCCATAAGGGCCATAAGTGCCCACTCCTGCTTTTTCTCTATATCCACCTGGAGATCCTCAGAAAACACCATTGGGCTCCAAAAAGTGTTTCATGAATAATGTCAATTTTAGGGGAGGGTAATAGCTTAGTGGTAGAGCTCATGCTTAGCATGCACGAGGTTCTGGATTCAGTCCCCAGTACCTCTGTTAAAAATAAAAATAAAAATAAAAATAAAAATAAAAATAAAAATAAAAATAAAAATAAAAATAAAAATAAAAATAAAAATAAATAAAAATAAAAATAAAATAAAATAGTAGTAGTAGTAATAATAATAATAATGTCCATTTTAAAGATGTTTCCGTGGGCATCTGAAGAAGAGGGTTCTATCACCCTTTCACAGAATAATTTCCCCTTAATTCCCCTCCTTTGGCATCTTTTCCCAAAGTTCCTCCCGGGGTAGCCTCCTCATCCTCTCATCTTTTTCTAAAACTCAGCTGTTAATAATTCAATTCTCCTTATTCCAACTGATTCTCTTCACCAAATGATCAAATGTATAAAAATTATCTTAAATGTACATTTACAAAAAAAAGGAAGATAAGTCATTTTTCCTAATAAGAAAAGTTATACATGCTCATTGCAAAAAAAAAAAATCAAACATTGCAGAAATGTATAACCTATAAATTTAAATTTTCCTTTAATTCTAATATCTACAGATACCTACTGTTCTGGTTTGGGGAAGGGGCCTCCAAACAAATTTTTTGGCAGATACTAACGAGTATTATTTTCTCCTTTTTATTTTTGAAAAACAATGATTATATTTTTTTAAATGAGCAAAAGACTTGAACAGATGTGGATGGCAAATAAGCATATGAAAAGATGCTCAACAGCATTAGGCATTAGTCATTAGGGAAAAGGAAATTAAAGTTTCAATGAGATACCACCATGCACCTATTAGAATGATTAAAACTTAAAAGCCTGACCCTTCCAAGTGTGGGCCAGAATTTGAAGACTAGAACACTCATAGACTGCTGGTGGAATGTGAAATGGTACAATCACTTTGGAAAGCAGTTTGACAGTTTCTTAAGTTAAACATACACCTGCCCTATGATCCAGTCATTCCACTCTTGAGGATTTACCCATGGTAAATGGAAGCATATGTTCATACAAAGACAGATGTTCACAGGAGATTTTTTCAAAATGAAAAACTGGAAGCAATCCAAATGTCCATCAACAGGCGAATGGGATAAACAAATTGTACTGTATCTATACAATGAGAGACTAGTCAGTAGTAAAAAGGCATGAATTGTTGATACATGCAACAACCTAGAAGAACAAAAGGCTGAGTGAAAGCCAGACAAAAAGAGTGTATAGTAAATGCTTCAATTTTCTTAAAACTTTAGAAAATATAAACTAATCTGTAGTGACAGAAAGCAGATCAGTGATTGGGCGGGGGAGAGGGACAAGAGAAAGATTATCAAGGTGCACAAGAAACCTTTTGAGGGTGACGGATATTTTCACTGTCTTGACTGTGGTGATGAGTTTGTGGGTATAAAACTGATCAAAACTCACCAAAGTGTACACTTTAAAATACACAGTTTATCTATGTCAGTTACATCTGAATAAAAGCAGCTTAAAAATGGAGACAATCCAAGACATACAATTTTGCAATTTATGGTTTACAGTGAACACATGTGTATGATTATTTTATATAAAGGAGGTAAAGGGCAGAATTAAGATCCATTGCACTAAATAAGGTGCTCACCAATGATAAGAAACTATCTAGTTCAACAAATAACGTGTTACCAAATCGTTCTTTTTTTCTCATATTACTTTTGTGTGATAAATCTATAAAGTTTCTCCAAGATAACCGTGACTTAAAGTTGGTAAAAATGGATCTTGTAAAAAGAAAAGTGATTTATTCTGTAAGTTTTGTTGCCTTTCTCAGATATTTCTCAGTCTCTAATTGGTTTAATTTCATCTTAGAATTATTTGGATAGGAAATGCATATTGATGTATATTTTTAAATGCTAATAATGTCGATGCCCATATGTCAAGTCAAACAGATGTGAGTTTGAATCATTGCTTTGATTGCAGGTAAATCTCCTAGCTTTAGTTTACTCAGTAATAAAAGGACAAAATGATACCAACTTGTTAGGATTGTTACGAAGAGGGAATGTCGTAATTCATATAATGTATTTGTCATATAATAAATACTCAACAATGTTAGTTCCCTTCCCCTTGTTCTCTCTAAGTAGGCTCTTCAATACCAGAAAATAATCTGCTATGTAGGTACTAAGAGGACAAGCGGGATATTTCAGGTAATCTTGGAGTGTCAGATGGGACCTTAAAGTTGAGGCCAGTGGAAAAAGGGCCCATATATTCAAAGAGAGAAACTAGACACATCACCTTAGAGGTAGCCAAGCTGGTCCAACATCCAGCATCCACTAAATAAGCCAAGAGATTCATTTGAGAAGAGGTTACCTTCATGGAAATCTTGAGAGCAGAGAGTACCATATTTGCATAGACCCAGGGCCCCAGTATAGTGTATAGTGACTAAGAATTCTTTGGAAGGCTTGTCACGTGTCCCCTGGAGTTTGAGGTCACAGAGGCTGGTGCCTGGTTAAGCCTCAGCAGAGGAGACTGGCTGGAGCTGCCAAATGCCATGGCTGGGAAGCAAGACAGGAGAAGGCTTATAGTCAACTTATGGGCCGGTTGTAAGTATTTTGAGTTGCAAAAAGCTGGTAACTTATATCAAAACAAGAATCGCCCTCACACACTGAAGACAAATACATATGCATCTACAAGATGGAAAGGGAGTTTAGAGTTTCATCAGACTTCTCATCAATGTTTATGTAGTCCATACATGTATGAATAAAAAGCAGTTAAGCATAAATCCTTAGATAGTTCTAGCTGACGGCAGAAATATTTGAACATGCTACTAAGTGATTTTAAAATATGTAACAATAAGAAATTAATCATAAGAAATTATAATATGAATCTTTGAATTAAAATTATATTTGAAGGTAGAATCCTCTACTTCCACTTAGCATGAATATCATTCTTTATATAAATATAGGTAAATAAAACCATAGAGGGTATTATCATTGAAGTCATAAAACTATGAGTTTAGTTGAATCATAAACTTTCTGTGATTGAAAGAAGACATTCTCTGCTCCCAGAACAATTAAGTGCTTCTGGTGCCTTGAGACAGATTGTTATATAAATGAGTCAAGGATAGCCTCCATGTATTGGCCTCTAGTCTCTTTATTTCTTCAGTGCAGCCTGAGATCTATTAGCTCAAAAAGCCATTGGCACCAAACTCAAATTTTACAATCCAATTATTTTTAAAAGAGCCTAAACAATCAGCATTTTAGCCACTTAGTACCTGCTTAGTTTGCATACCCCCAAAACATCACCCAACAGCTCTTACCTACTGATAAGACAGGGCCTCACAGTAATAAGACTCAAAGCTGATGCTTCCCTTGGAGATCTCTCACCCAGAGACTACAAGTAAGTCCCCTCTCTCTTCTCTCCTTCCTCTGGGAGTTCCCTTGCCTAACTTCCCTTCTAGATGATGGTTCCTTTTAGTAAGCCTCTTAATGGCCATGTGCTGTGAGAAACATCCCCTCTCATGCATCCTTATTCTCATGCCATCCAATAAAGCTTCTGTTTTAGTGTCTTTCTTGGTCATCTTTTCCCTTGATCAGCCCCACATCCCTGAAACCTCTACATGAACTAATTACAAATTCAGCAGAAAAAAATTGTAAAATGGTGCCAAATATGGTTAAGATATAGCTAGAAAAAGAAAACTCGTGAAATGTATCTAAAATTCATTTATTGTAATCAGAGACTATTAAGAAGAGAAAAGGTATGGGAATTTTACAAAGATTTGAAAGATGTCAATTTGGGCTAAGCAACTGTGGACAAAGAATGCTGCCCCCACCACCTCAGTAAACAAAAATGTTGTGGCCATGACGCCATCAGCCACTGCAGCTGCTCCTGATGGTGCACCCTGAGGGGAACTCAGGGTGGAGAAAAACAGGATACCAGTCCTAGATAGTTAAGATGAACATCAGAGGAATAATTTCACTGACCCCAGATTCTTGCATCTTCCCATAGATAGAAAATCACTAAAATCATTAACTCTGATGTCTGGTTTTTGTGGTTAGTAGTAATCTTTTGATGTTTTTGACTCTGTTGTTTTTTGGAGGGTTTTTTTTGCAACAGAAACACCTATATATCCTAGCTCCTCCCTTACCTCTTTAGAACAGTTCTTCAGAGCTATCTGTGAGGGTGCCAATCCTGGGCTATAGTCCTTCAG